AGGGCAGGGCAGGGCAGGGCAGGGCAGGGCAGGGCAGGGCAGGGCAGAGCAGAGCAGAGCAGAGCAGAGCAGAGCAGAGCATTGCAGCAGAGCAGAGCATTGCAGCAGAGCAGAGCGACAGAGTGAGCAGAGCGACAGAGTGAGCAGAGCGACAGAGTGTGGTGTTGGGTCCTTTTTTTTACGATAAAGCGTGGACCCCACAGAGATGGGGTCGTGAAATTCGGACGGTCGGAAAGTCAAGCCACATGCCCACGGTCCAAGGTCAAGATTACATCACGGATAGTGAAAAAATGTCACAAGTACACTCTTCCAGCAAAAACATAGGCGAGGGGACTAATTCATGACTACTCCTTTTCAGTGATTTGGCATTCGAGCACCCCTATCTCCATCCAATGGATTCCAATTCATGACGACTTCGGAGGATTTTCACCATCCCTTGATTTGAGCATATTTGAGCCCATCCCGGGCTGTGGCGCACAGAGCCACATAAGTGGCCACAAACGCAAAAGTTTCACTTCTGCCTGTAAGATTGCTGCCACTTCTGGCTGTTTGCATACTCCGAACGGGTGGGGGGGGTTCCCCCTGAATGAGGAGTGCGGCAAGCAGACCATCCAACAACGGCACGTGTTTGTAGATGAGGCTGTAGGTATTCCACATAAAACATCTTCATTCGAATCACAGGTTTCCAAGCTTTGCAGAGTCATGTTTCACGATGTTTCATGTTCAGGAACGATGTGAAGAAGCCGTGTGGGCACGATGCATGGGAAAACTGGGTTCGTTTGGAACCCGAACACGTCCACTCAGTGGATATCAAATCGAGTGAACACGCTCACTCGAGTCTGAGTCAGGACCTTGCCTTTCCACAACAACCCACAGATGGGGTGTCTTGACCTCAAACAGATTGTTTAAATCGTGAGATACCATTTATATAGATTGGGCGTTTTTTGTCAAACAGGGGTCTTAGACACCGCTATTTGCTACGGGTGACGAAATCGTCGTGTATGTTGTACAATCCTCACAAAAATCACCATTCTTCCAACCTCTTTCCGGACTCAGCAAGACGGATGAGGCATGGTCAAAAAACGGATGTTTTCAATACGTATCCGGGACATCAGCGAAACCCCGAACCACCGTGGAACACCCTGAGATCGGTGGCGAAAGGGGACTGAAAGGTCTGAATTCGGAGTGAACAACAACACCCTGTGGCCCATCTCCTGTCCCTCTACGCATTTTTTGACCATGCCCCCATTTTTTGGAGCTCGCAGGAATGCTTTGCATCAGCGAAGAATCATTCATAGGCCAAACGCGGTCGAAGCAAGCGGAGCCCTTTTCAGCCACAAGTCCCTCATCGTTCTCACCGCTGGTTGCTCTCACGGAGGAAACCTCATCGGCAGTCTTCGTGTGCATTCACGGGCTTCACAAGCTCTTCCGCAGTTGAGCCTCTTCCGGCAGTTGAGCATGGGAGGAATCTGGCATCTCTGAGTGTTAGGCCCAGATCGAGGATTTGGAACTTCTGGCTGATGCTCACATACCCCAAGACAGTCATCTGATGGATGTTCTTGGGGAAGTGTTATAAACTTGGCCCTCAAATAAATTGAGGCAAAAGGGTTTGACTCAGCTAGCTGCTTGTTCAACTTCTTGTGCGATGCGCGGCCCACATATGCCTGGCCCATTTTTTGGCCCGGAACTCTGCGTCTAGGAAAGGTCACTAAACTGTGGGGATGTGCGGAGAGGCCTAAGATCTCAGATACCTTGGAACCACTATCTTCTTTTCTGGCGGCCAATGGTCAACTATAGATTCCCAAGTTAGGCAATTTGGTTTTGCGATGGTCTCCGTCTTTGCTGGCTAGCTGAAAGGCGTATGATTCGATGATGTGCGATCTTTTACTGCAGGGTGAAGATGAAGTTAGGAGCAAGGCATGGTTGAAGCTCGAATCATTTTTTCAAGAACTTGTGATTATTTGAGCTTTTTGAACCCCCAGGTCCAAGTGTCTTGGGGTGAACTCCAACGAAATATTGTACTTGCGCCTCAAGCCTGAAAAAGGATACACGATATTCTTGTTGTCAGCAATCTATTTCTGTTCAAAGCAGTATATGGATATATGGATATATATTTTTTTTTAACACATGATTTGTGAACTTGAAAAGCGATTGCAACTGTCTGTCAATCTTGTTTTTTCTGCAAGGCGGACTTTTTTGTGGTTGTCAGTTCGTGTGTGGCAATTGTTGGTTGGATGCCCTTTGACCATTTTGTGGCAGGCACAAAATTGGAAATATATTCAGATGTGTGGCTGGGGAGGGGGTGTTGGGGGGAGGCGCTCCCCGCCCTCCCCCCGAACACACCAAACAACAAGCTTTTGGTGCTGTTCCCAGAAATGGCACTCCGAAATGGTGATGGGTGATAGGAAAATGTTGGTGGATGTTGCCGGGTTATATATTTGATGTGTTCGAAAGACCTGCCGAAGCTTGTGTGGCTTCTGGGATTGATCGTTGGTTGAATGTCGGGAAAGTGTAACACTTGCTCTCTTCTCGAAGCAGCAACACTTGCTTGGCTTGGCTTGGCAGCAACGCGCTTCTCAAGTCGCTTCCCGTCTTCAGCTGCTTCTTTGGCTTTGCTTTTCGTCAGCTTGGAGGTGTTCTGTCGTCTTTTGATGCTGTCTGCGTCCTACTCTCTCTCTCTCTCTCACTCTTGATTTGTTCTCAAAAGAATCCATTTGTATAGAACAAAATACTTGTCAATTCAAAACATACTGATTTGCAGTCAAAAAAGATAATGATTTTTCCGTACTGCGGTTGAACAACTACTCCTACTCGCTCTGTCGGTGGTATTTTGCGAGCTTGGGGTTGAAAGAATCCAAAAAAACTGCATCTCAAAAGCACGATTGTGCAATTCAAAAATTTCCCAGCCCCGAAGTCAAGCCCATATCATAATTGAAGACGTAGCACCACGAAGGCTCGCAACAGTGTGCCTCACTCTCGTTGTGTTTGGTGATCAGCCACAATTCGCCTCGCCATTCGGAAAAAAAGAGACCATGTAGGCTCTTGATTCTTGGTTAAGTAAACCCCCCATATGAAGAGTCTGTTATTTATATCCACATTGCGAGGTGTTTTTCAAGAGTCTACCGAGTCTACCTCCGCAAAACTAAGACTTTCTCAGTCGTCCCTCTCCAAAGCAATTCCAAACAAATCTCGAAAGGCTGCACACCCTCTGCAAAGAAAACACCACTGTCCCACATCTCTTCTTTGCCAAAAAAGGTCCCCATCGTCCATCACCACGTATGCTTGCGTATGCGCGTAGTATGACGCGTATGCACCGCCCCGCCTTTCGCCAGCACGTCGCGTATTTCTTGAACCCTCAAGCCCTGCCGGCGGAGTGGGACAGGACAGGAACTATATCCTGGAAACCCAAACAACCAGAAAGAAATGTATGTTTCCCCAAACAGCCATTTCCTATGCAAAGGAATGTAAAGGATCATATTTGCCATATTGGAACAACCATTTCTTTCTAGTTCTTTGGGGTTGGATAGTCACCAGGGAGCGGTTTCCAGATTCTTCCGTTTCCGGATTAACCGGTACGGTTTCAGTCTCTGCTGTCTCAGTTTCCATCTGTTTCCCCCGAAATGGACTCCGTTCGGGGTATGTCCACGTCCTGTCGGCGTCGATGTTCGGACAGCATCGTGTTCGGCGACGTGGCCGCGTTCGGACAGCATACGGGTGGGGAGCCTGGAAAAGACTGGCTGGAAGAGCCTGGAATGTGTGTTAAGTTGGCGCAGCCTCACATCCTCAAAGTGATCGGACAGGCACAGGCCTAAAGCATGATCAAAAACACATACACTTACAGCCCATCATTCTTGCTGGCTCTGGCTGTGATGTTTTATGGGATCGTGTGCAAAAACCAGTCTTTGGGACGTGTTCCTTACGAGTTGGTTCTGGACTGGCTATCTCTAGAGGCATGATGAACTCACGGGTCCTCCCTGTCTCTCTTCGTCCGCGTCCGTCCACGCCGGATCGGAGGCCTTGATGGTATCGATCCGCACGTGCACCGAGGTCGCCATCAAACTTGTCGCCTGCACGTTTCGAGAAAACCCATCGAGGGCGGACGGGTTCGGTACGGTTGCGCTGATCGGTTCGCATTCCGAGTCGTCCGGAAGTCGCATCGATATAGCCGTTAGTTGAATTTCTGGAGAACGAAACGAACATTCAACCAAAAGAAAGAACGACAAGAAAATGTATAGAAACAACATGAAGCAACCCCATCACTCAAGGATCCATGCCGCTGTTCCTTTTCTTCGGAACCAAACCCCCCTCTGTCCGTCCCTCCGGATTCCACCGGTCTGTCGACTCCGTGACGAGCTTGTGCCTCTGGCCAGAGCTCACGGGCACATCGATAGATCTCGGTCAAGATACGCAGGCCTCAGCGCACGGGCCGACCCCGAGCGAAAAGCGCGCCGACGAGCGCACGGCCGTGCGCCCGCGGGATCCGGAGCACGGCTGGGTTCTTACGGTTACTGAACATGAAGGCACGCGAGCCACGCGTGGACGGAACCGACCTGCACCGCAGAGCGACCCGTTCTCTGGGACACCCGGCGGAGGACCGGCGCGTCGGAACCTGCCGCTTTTCGGAGTCCGCCCACCGCTCGCCGCGTTTCGAGTCGAGTCGAAAATGCTGCTCCTCTTCGGCCAGAACGGTCGCGTTGAAATGATGTCAAGAAAATTGAGACCCAAAGGCTCAGAATTCGGACCCAACCCGTTCGCTAGGGTTTTGACCCTCACAACTAGGGTGACATGGACCGGTGCAACATGTAGCAGTTTGAGGGTCAATGAGCATCTGGGTACGAAAATCTGTCCATGTCCAGTTTGAACTTGCCTAGGTTATTGAACACACAAAAAATGATCAAAAGAGACCCAAAAAACGATTAAAGGATCCAGGCATGGCTGTGCAACCCGAAAAAGATCTAAGAGACCCTTCTTTAAAAAATGGTGGCGAATGGTCGTCCCCGGCCATTCCCATGCTTCTTCATGCAAGCCACACACTGCCTTCACGTCATATATCCATTTCATACGCTTGGCAATTTCCTGGTCTAATCCATTCCACGATCGAAGCCGTGATTTGAGGCGCTGGCATTGTGCTTGCAAAAAGGCAGGCCCATAGTAGACGAGAAAGGCAGGTCCCACCTCATGAGGTTCGTGGCATCTCTTTTTTGGTGGGCCCACCGTCGGTGCGGCGGCGGCTTGGCCGCCGCCTTCTACCTGGGAGTCACAACTGTCACATAGCTATGGCTATAACCCATTATAACCCCATCACCACCAAGGGGTCAGAATGATGAGCCGTCTGGACTTCGTTTCCCTCACTTGTTCAACAGACGCGCCTCTCTCGGAACCGCCGTCTCCCCACCAGGACCCCGGGCAGCACGAGAGGACACGTCGGGTGGCACCAAGTCTGCCGAAAAGTGTTGACCTGGAAACACGGCCACCGGGGAAACGGTGCCAAGCGTAAGGGGTGCTGGGTGCGGTAAGTAGCACCGGTCTCAAGAGAACTCGAGACGGCTCGAGATACATATGTGAGACAGTTCTGCTGAGTGAGCATTGTTCTCCGAGGGCGAGTCTCACAACACCAGAAATATATGTATCCAAAAGAAACAAAACATTACAGTATTTACTTTAAAGAATAAACCCAAGTAAACCCCAACAGCAAGTGAGGCAAAACAATGCGAAAAAGCGATCGACACCAACCTGCAAAGCTGACGGGGATACTCTGTGGGCTGGAGAATGCATGGACTGACTTAAGAGGACGGAGGCACTTGACTCGGAACCTGTGCTTGGAACCTCGGAACCTTCGAAACCTTCACTCGGAACCTTTACTTGGAACCTTTACTTGGAACTCTTTGGACACTTGACACGGAACCT